ATATTATTAATACTATTAAAAATAATATGATTAATTTTAATAATATCAATAAATAACAAATTTGGATCAATTAAATCCAATTTATTTGCTATAACTCCAACCTATTCATCATATACTTCATTAAATAATTTAGGTGTATGAATTAATTTTTGATATATTTTTGATCTCATAAATCTCTAAAATCAGGAATTAATCACTAATATATATATATATATATATATATATTATTAAATTTATTAATAATTATTATATTAATTTTTTAAAAAAATTTATAAAAAAAAAAGTTCAAGTTTATAACTTGTAAAAATTATAATTTAATTTTTAAATAAAATATAAAAAATAATTTAAAAAAATTTTTTTTTAAAAAAAGAAAAAACAAAAGTTTAGTTTTAATAAAGTAATAAAAAATAAAAATATAAAATATAAAAAAATAAATATTAAAATAAATATTAAAAATAAATATTAAAAAAAATATTATTTAATTTTAATATAAAAAAATAATTTAAAAACTTCAATAATATTTTTTATTTTTTATTAAAATATTTAATTAAAATTAAAAAAAATTATATTTGATTTTAAAATTTCTTTATTAATAAAAACTTAATTTTCAAAAAAAATATAAATATATATTAAAGTATATATCCAATAAACATATATTTTGTTAATATTCATTTATTTATTTATAAAAATAATTTTAATAATTGATTAATATATACTATATATTTTATATTTTATATTTTCAAATATTTATATATTAATTTATTAATTAATTATAAAAAAATATATTATATATATAATATACTTTATTTTATTTTATTTTTTTAAAATATAAACTATATATAATAATAAATTTTAAATTATTACAGTATATTGTATATAAATTTATAAAAAAGAATAATATTAATATTAATAGTTTAAAATTAAGTTCTATTACAATGTCAAAATTTCGATATCTATTGTGGCTTTTAACAGTAAAAAGTGCATGCATATGATGAATCAGATGACTATTACCTAATGCAAATAATGTGGCTAGTTAAAAATTTTATTGAATAAATAGAATTTTATTAATTTCTAGTCTTGATTGTATGAAACGAATTTTAAATTGTGGTGTGGCCAAGGTTTTTTTATTGATATCCGTGTTATAACAAAATTTCGAGGATGTGGGAAAATTGCAGTTTCCGGAGTTTTTGATATGATCATGACCGATAATTGATATCATAATAATAATACATCTGCGGATAGGTTTGCGAAATTTGATTGGTTATTCCAATCGGTAATCGACACGATGTGGTGACGTATATATGATTTTGAATGGTAGATTTGCGGAAACAATGATCTGATGGAGTACCATACGATCAACTTGAAGCAGTATACAAAATCTGTGGTTCGTTTTCTCTTCAACAATGTCCTTGTCAACCTTTTCCGAAACCAAACATTTAACTATTAGCCTATAACTACTTCTCTCGCTAACAGTCAATTATATAAGGACATTTTTTCAATATCCCATCAAATACTTTGCTAGTAAGAGTCCGGTAAGCTATTTATATTATACAAACGTCACTCCAGTCATACTGTTCAATAACAAAGATGTCGTCGATATATGTTACCTTGTTAGGCTTGAAAAAAACAAAAAATGGAACACCATACAAACCGTAAGTATTATTTCTGGTGTTTTTTAAAAGTTATACAAGAGTAAAGATTATATAATCTAACGCTGGATGCTATTTTTACTTATGAAAAGTTGTGCCGTCTCGTCGTAACTCGGCCGACTCTTCCGCCTCCATAGAAACAATGTCTTCACAAACAACACCAATTTCCACTACTCCTCCCACACCACACGAGTATGAAAACCTGACAATACTTCAATCAGCTCTAGCTTCTGCTCAAACTGCGAGGTCACAATCTGCTGACGGTGGTTCTAGGACCACAAATCATAGGGAGTCAAAAAGAGTCGGTTCTAAACCTCCTCGACAACTTCAATGTTTTAACTGTGGCATAAAAAATACACCGCTCTGGCGTAGAACACCAGACAGAATGCATTCACTATGCAATGCATGTGGCCTATATTTTAAACAATATCATGTTCATCGACCTTTACATATCATACATAAAACGAGGACATCATCAACCAAATCTTATCCATATATCTTGCCCGCTACTAGAGAAGAAGAAGAGGTAGAGGAAGGAGAGGAGGATGCAGATGTTATTATGGAGGATTATTCTGATATATCTTCGGAACATCAAGCGGGCAATGAATCTAATAGCGAAGAAGCAGCACCCGAAACATCAATTCAATCTCCGACGTCAACGCCAACTCCCTCAACACCTCTGTTTTCCGCACTATTACCCAATGAACTTTCATCAAATCTAAATTTATCACCTGTAGTACAAATGACTACACCTATACCATCACCTACCATACCTCCCGCATCCTTACCTCCATCCGGATCACATTCGACGATATCACCATCATCAATTGCAGCTATGGCTGATATACAAATCCAATGTGCTAATTGTGGTCAAACTCAAACGCCCTTATGGCGAAAGAATGACAAGGGACAACCTCTTTGCAATGCATGCGGATTATATGCTAAGTTGCATAATAGAGATCGTCCTATTGCCATGAGAAAGGCAAAAATCCAGCGTAGACGTCGTGATTGGAATAAATATGGTCATGTTGAAGATGGACATTCTACCGAAGAAAACAACGATTCATCACATTATTCTCAAAAGGGCCCTATCACATTACATACCATTCTTCCTAATCAAAGACCAATAGCACCTATGACCATGTCTCCAAGTCTTATGGCACCTGCCCTTTTGACTTTAGCTACTGCCGCCACCTGTCAGCGGGAACAAATGTTATTAGAAGAGCAGCGCCGTCAGCTTCAACAATTACAACAACATCATCACGAAGAGATATCTGATGACCACGATCAAAATTCAACAACGCCTGGTCATATGCATACGTCTTTTGATTATAATGATGAGACAAAATTTAAAGTTTTGGTGGATCAGATGTCTAAAAATCAGGTGGAAGATGTGTTGAAGGTTTTGGAGAGGCGGTGCGAGATTTTGAAAATGGCATTAGGAGAATCACAATAATTGGCGGGTTTCACAGTAAACTCTGGGAGCATGAAATTTAATAAAACTTTTTCTTTGTGCTAATGAACACTTGATTACGGAGTATTTTTTTTTCTTTATCGCAACTCTTATAGCGAATATAATTAGCCGAATGATGAGGCTGTTTTGGGAAAAATTATTATTATTATTATTTTCTTTTTTTTTCTTTCAGTCAAAATTTTAAAAACTGTAAGTATTCGTTATCGCACTGCCGAATCCTTATCTTTCCCTTATCTTCTTTTCGTGGCATTCGAATCAAGAATGTCACTTAATTATTATTTGTTAAAATAAACATCTTAGAGACTCAATCCTTAATTTTTTTAAAAAAAAATTCCTTTCTTTTCTATTTGTTAGAATGTATACTAGTCCTCCCATTGCAGACCATCTTATTTTTCTAAATCAATCACTCATCACCAAAGGACATTTGAATTAATCAGAGTAGAAATTAATTTGAGAGTTAGAGTGAATTCTTAATTTGATGATGGAAGAAACTCGTTTTTTTTTGTCTGAATAATCAATCTACTGTACTATTAACCTTCATTCCAAACTCCAGGAAAATTTAATGCAATTATATATATAAATTATGTCAAATGAATATTAATAGTTTGAGTAAAAGATAATGATAATTTTTAATTACGAAGATTATCTTAAAATCTTGGTCGAATCATTAAGTCGGAAATAGTGCCGGCATACAATGTGTGTAATGTGCATACAGAAAATGTATGCATGTATGTATATAATGTATGTATATACATGCGTAAATTGAAAGTCAATTGTTCAAAAGTTCGGATTATTCAATTAAAAACTCAAAACTGCTGCTATCAACGATGGTGGCGTAATGCAAAATCCTTGATTTTTTAGAATAATAGCATTGATATAATAGAATGCACACTTATTTTCCAAAAATTTTTCTAGATTTATCAACTTTGATGTAAATCGTAAGTCATGCAACCGTCAGACGAGAAACAAAAGTCGTACTTTATGAAATAGTAAAGGAGAAGCTGATCCTGTCGTCATGGGATTTCCAGGATTTTTACCCCGCAAAAAGTTCTCCGCTCAGGCCATATTTTAATTTTTATCATGTGATCTTTTTCGGACTATGGAACAATTTTTATAGAAATGACCTTATTCATTACCCTATTGAGAAACCTACAATTCCTTTTCGACAATTTTTATTGATAAGCTTAATTTGTGTCACGGTCATTTTCTATTTATAAATATGTGCGTTCTTTTTGTGTAATTGAAAGTTTTTCTCGATAGAGCCATTTGTGGTTAAAAAGGCAAAAAAAAATGGGTTTGCAGGAAGCAATAAACAGTCATTTATGAAAGAAATGAATTTCCTGATTTCTTCCCGTGAATAAAAATTGGCACTTCATATATTTTATATAAATATCGAAATAAATCATATCTATATGAGTTTTTACAACAGTGACATATGTACTGTATATGTGATTAATAATTAGTATTTTTTATTAACGTGATATAGTAAATTTTTATTTTTTCGGGTAAAGGGTGCTAGTAGCACATGTACTTTATTGAGCTAATAGTAAATTTTTATTTTATTTTATTAATGCATAATATAAATATAAATACGGTGTTATAATAACTTTTATTTATTTATCAATAAAATTATTAATAAGAAAATTAATTTAAAGTAAGAATATAAAATGAAATATTAAATAGAATTTATAATAGTATGAATTGTTTTATTAATAAATTTTAATAAAAACATATGATTTTTGAATTTTGATTATTATTTAAATAATCTTATTAAAATTTTATTTTATTATTTTATTTTTTTTTAAATAAATAGGCATTTGTCTTGTTTAACTTTATTAAAATAATAATTTGAGATACAATTGTGTATACATGCAAAGAATTATAAGAAGTTAATGACTCTTTTAATTATAAAGTAAACTTATTAGGATTGCTTTACTATCACTAGTTAAAATAGTACCATTTGACATATTGCCACTTATCAAATATTTGGATATATAAACATTTAGTATAATATTACTTAGCAACAATTTGACATATATCAAATTATAAAATAATATTTTATTTTTTGTAAATTAATTAAAAAAATAAATAAATTAAATTTAGATACAAATTGTTTTATGCCTAATTATAGTCAAATTTTAGTGATTTTAAATATTATACTTGTGATTTAGTGAAATTACAGTTAAATATTTACAAAAATTATGTTAATTTGATATTTTATATATAAATGAAATAAATCAGTCAAAAATATTGTAAATAGGAATTATATATTCACATTTAATTGAATAAAATTCAATATTCTATAATTCAATATTCATTTCATTTTTTGAGTTAAAATAAAATCTCATATTTGCTGAATTAATTGGTTTAAACCATCAAATAAAAACCAATTTATGGCATATAATATTATTCAAAAAATTATCTGAATATATAAAAAAAAATTGAACTTGTCTTGAATATAAATCAACACTTCCATTATAATTCACAAATTAGACTAATACAAATAAATCCTTTATATTTTGTGAAAACATAAGAGAATCAAAAATTTTGTTTTCTATTCGATATCTTTTATATTAATTTGCTCTATTCTAAATAATTATCTAATTATTAATATTATTTGTAAATAGTCTTCGAAAGTTCATTATTTTATATGAAGTCTCATAATATTCAACTAATAGATCCAATATTTTAGCAGGTAATATTAAATTCAAATTTTTTAAATATAATAATTCACCCAGAAATTTTTCTAATCCATTGGTAACTGTCTTATAATGTTATATATTGTGATCAAAATCCATTTGATCCGTATCTGAGTGGTAGTTTTTAGAAGAAATTAGAGATTATATAGAACAGTCTATCATTTCAGAGATAATCTCTTACAAATATTCCAAGGTACGGCAAAGATTCCCCAATGAATCTTTGTAACCAAAGTATATTTAATAAAATAACCAGTATTTTATTAAGATACCAAGTCAGAAATCAGATGATTTCAAGAGTGAGTTTATCAAAAACTTCAAGAGCGAGTTATCCAGAACTGAGTGAAAATTACATGGACAGCAGCTACTTATATAGTGTTTTCTATCCTAGACTA